GAGGGGCTGAGCGACGTGGAGGTGAGGACGTTCCTGCAGCGCTCCGTCCAGAAGTTGCCTATGGGCTGGACCCGGGTGGAGATCCACGGGCTGTGGAAGGACCAGCTGGCGTACCCCTTGCGGGTGCAGCCCCCCGCCTCCGAACAGCGTAATGGCAGCCTGGAGACCCTGAACGGCTTCATGCAGAGCGTCGCCTCTCAGAATTACCAAAACCTGTGGTGCCGGGCTCACCACCTATACGTGCGGCCGTACCGGCACGCCGACGCACCACCTACCATGCCAGCCCTGGATGTGCTGCGGGCCGCCCTGCAGAAGGCTTACGGTCGGCTGCCCCGTCCTTCAGGTGGGCAAGAGCGTGCCCGGTGCTTCCCCTGCCAAGGAGAGCGTGGCGGCCGCTAAGGGGGTGACCTCCTGCCCCAACGTGCTGCAGGCTGAAGCTCTGCTCGAGTCGGCCAACATGCTGTACATCGTCTACCCTTACGTGCAGTACTGTTTGCACGATATCGTGACTTTCAGCCCGGCCAAGCTCACCAACAGCCACGCCAAAATCCTCTTCCTCCTCTTCCATGTGCTGCAGGCCATGAGGGCTTGTCACCAGGCGGGTCTGGCTTTCGGCGCCCTTTCCCCTCCCGCTTGCGGCGCCTTTTCCCTTCGAGATGTGGCTGTCGATGAGAAGCTGTGCAGCCGGCTCCGAGTGAACTTCAGAGAGTACGAGGGACCGAAGAAGGAGGAAGTGAATCCGGAGGCTGGTCTGGAACGAATGAGCGAGCAAAGCGGTGCTGGTGTGCGAGGGCAGGAGGCGAGGTGCACCTCCTGCCAGAAGGACCTCCGAGACCTGGTGCTGCAGTGGGTACATGGGCAGGTCAGCAACTTTGACTACCTTATGCGTCTAAACAGTTTGGCTGGGAGGAGAATGGGAGACCCCAATTATCATCCAGTTCTTCCGTGGGTGGTGGACTTCACTACCAAAAACGGCAAGTTCAGGGACCTAAGGAAGTCCAAGTTCCGTCTCAACAAGGGAGACAAGCAGCTGGACTTCACCTATGAGATGACCAAGCAAGCGTTTGTTGCTGGTGGGTCAAGTGGGGAGCAGCTCCATGTCCCCCATCACATCTCGGATGTCCTTTCGGATATCACCTACTACGTGTACACGGCTCGGAGGACACCCAAGGCAGTGCTGTGCTGCCACGTGAGGTCCCAGTGGGAGCCCAACGAGTATCCAGCCAGCATGGAGCGCATGCAGAGCTGGACCCCGGATGAGTGCATCCCAGAGTTTTATATGGACCCCTCCACCTTCCGATCCATCCATCCGGACATGCCCGACCTGGATGTGCCGTCTTGGTGTAGCTCCTATGAGGAGTTCGTTGAAGTCCATCGCATGTTGCTTGAGAGCCGGGAAGTCTCTCAGGACCTCCACCACTGGATTGATCTCACTTTTGGGTACAAGCTGCTGGGGAAGGATGCTGTCAAGGAGAAGAACGTCTGCCTTCATCTAGTAGACAACCACACGCATCTGACGACTTACGGGGTTGTGCAGCTTTTTGACCAGCCACATCCCCGGCGCATGGTGGGACCTGCCTACACGCCTGCTGAAGCTCCATCCATTGCCCGGCCTCTTCTCCAGAACATCCGGGAGATGGTGTTTTTGGAGGATATCCAAGGCCAGGTGATGGATGCCGTTAATGGGCTGGTCCTGGAGGCTACTCCCAGTGAAACCACCTGGTCTGGGGAGAAGCCCATTGCTGGTGAGGATGATTTAGAGCAAGGCACAGAAGCCCTGGATTCGATTTCTGCTACTAGTAGAGCTGCTGATCAGCCCTGTGCCGCTTCAGCACAGCCCTCCACCCTCCCTGCTTATGCCACTGAAGGAAAAACCTCGGGTGTCCGACCTCTCCGTTGGAGCAAGACAGGTGCTGTGGATCAGGCTGACATGAAGATCACACTTCCTGAAGGCTTCAATCCACTCCAGGCCCTGGAAGAGCTGGAGAAATTGGACAATTTCTTGGTTAAAGGCTTAAGCAGTGAGATGCAGCTAATGGAGCAGCTGTGGGAAGAGCCACCCCTGAGTCTCTCAGACCTCTTCCAGAGGGACATGCAAGCTTTGGGCATTCTGGTAGCTGAGATTATATTTGCACCAAGGATTCGTCCTTCAAAGCCTGATGCATCCCTGTTGGAGAGGTTCCTGATGGTGCGTAATCTGTGTCGCTACCATCCCAAGGAGATCCCGGCCCCGCTCCAGCACGTGCTGCAGGTCCTGCTGCAGCTGAGCGTGCCGGTGGAGAAGCTTCTGAAGGCCAGGCCGGGCAAGGGCATGGGGCAGTTGTTTGAATACAAACCCATCTCCCAGGGCCTCCCCCCACCCTGTCCCACACAGCTCCTCAGTCCCTTCAGCTCTATTGTCCCCTTCCCCACATACTTCCCAGCCCTGCACAAATTCATTTTCACCTATCAGGCGAAGAAGATAGAGGATGAAGGTGAGGGCCGGGAACTTGTTTTCCAGCTGTGGCAGCAGCTGGATGGGATCCTTTCTGAAATCACTCCTGAAGGCTTGGAGATTCTTCTGCCCTTCGTATTATCTCTGATGTCGGAGGAGAATACCGCTGTCTATGCAGCGTGGTATCTCTTTGAACCTATAGCTAAATCCCTAGGTCCAAAGAATGCCAATAAATACTTGCTCAAGCCATTGATCGGAGCATATGAGACCCCCTGCTACCGCCATGGCAGGTTCTACCTCTACACAGACTGCTTCGTCGCCCAGTTGATAGTGCGCCTGGGGCTGCAGTCCTTTCTCCTGAACCTGCTGCCGCACATCCTGCAGATTCTTGTTGGCATCGAGAGCTCGCGGGAGGAGAGCAAATCCCTCCTCGGCACAGCTGAAGATGATGAAAGTGGAGGGGAAAGCCCAGTGTCATGCGTCTTTGGGGAGGAGATCAAAATGGACGTGGAGCACAGCTCCGCTGCACTCGATCTCCTCGACTACACCTCTGGTGTCAGCTTCCACGACCAAGCCTACCTGCCTGAGAGCGAGGACTTCCAGAGCGGGCTGTATGTCGGGGAGTCCCTGCAGCCTCAGGAGCAGGAATCGCTCAGCCTTGGGCGGCTGAGTGACAAGAGCAGTGCCAGCGAGGTGTCCCTGGGAGAGGACAGACCTGCGGATGGGGATTCCCAGAAGGACAAGAGCAGCTTGAAGTCGGTGGACAGCAGCCAGGACCTGAAACAGAGTGAGGACTCAGAGGAGGAGGAAGAGGAGCGTGAGGAAGAGGAGCACGATGATGCTGCGGTTGATGCGGAGCTGACAGTGGCCATGGATGCTGGTGCCTCTGTGGATGTCACCCTGGCTGATGACAGCAGCGAGCCAGAGGATGGAGAGGGAGAGGAGCTGCCGGATCACTCCGATGACAAAGAGCAGACAATACTCCTGGGTAAGACCTTGCTAGCGTTGAGCCTTTCTGCTGAGCGTGGCAAACACCCAGTAACGCAGTGAGTGGGAGAAGGGGAGAGCCTGGGAAGAAGTGGATCCAGATTTGGGGTTGTCTATAGTCCCAGCTTGGGGACAGTGATGAAACCAGTGTAGAAGGCCAGGTCTGCGCTGAAGTGCGTGAATCTCAGACCCAGGGAGCTCCTTGCGGGGCCGGCAGGGTCTGGGCCGCAGCCGGGTGATAACTAATCTGCGCCGTGCCGGGCTCTGTCCTTGTGACTGTTTTTGTTTTGCAGACACAGCCTGTAAGATGGTGAGGTGGCTCTCAGCCAAGCTGGGCCCTACCGTCACGTCCCGCTTCATCGCCAGGAACCTGCTCCGTCTGCTCACGTCCTGCTACATCGGTAATGTCTGCTCCTCAGACCCCAGGGTCCCGGGGTGGGCCATGCCCTAAAACAGTCTGCTGGGTGCCTCGTGGCTTGGGTGTAGCCTGCTGCTTCAGCTCATGATGTTGTCTCTGGGCAGGCCCTACCAGGCAGCAGTTTGTACCAAGCAGCGATGAGAACAGTCCCCTGAGTACAGGAAATATCTACCAAAAACGGCCAGTGCTGGGAGATCAGGTGTCCAAGCCAGTGCTGGCCTGTCTTGTGCATGTGGCGTACCTGTACGGAGAGCCCGTCCTCACCTACCAGTACCTGCCCTACATCAGCTACCTGGTTAGTATTGCCTTTCCTCCTCTTCTCCTGCGTGTTAGGGCAAGAGCTGCGTCCAGGCACAAAAGGAGAACGCACAGAAAATAGTCCAGCCTCACCAGGAGCCTCCTGCGTAAAAATTTGTGCTTGGTTTCGCTCCATCTGGGCCAGTGTGGGCTGAGCACCTCTGGCTGCATTGGCCGAGATGCAGCCAGAAGAGGCATTTTCACCCCTTGCCATAAGCTCCGACCGCTTCCAGTGAAGCGCGTGGCTGCGGATGTGGGCTTTGCTCTTTAGCAAGCCTCGGCCACCGTGGATCTGCATTGGGCTGCCACAGCCTCTCCTTCCCCATTTCAGCCATGGACCAGTTGTTGGCATGTGTGAAGTCAGAGAAAAAGGTTTTCTTTTGCTTTGCTGGGCGAGTGTGCCAAAACAGAGCTGGCACAAGGGTGGGATTGTGATAATGGGCAGGCAGAGCAGCTGTGGGATTGCTGCAGGGAGTGTTTTTAGAGGTCTGTACGGGTAGATAGGGGATGAGCTGGGGAGAGGCTAAAGGAGGTTTTTCAACTGTATAAAAAATACTGGCAAGACTTAAAAACTTTTCAGCTTGAAACTCAGAGCTGAATACCAAGAAGAAAATGTGTGTAATGTAGCTGGTTGAAAAACCAATTTTTCGTCAAAAAAAGAAAAGTTTCTGAATGTTTTAAACAGGCTTATTTTTCACATTGCTCCCTTTTTAGTGGTTATAAACACTTTGGTTATGGATTCTTGTTTAAATGGAAAACTTCAATAGCTTTTTGATAATTTAAACATAGAGGAAAAGAGGCCACAGCTGTTCATTTAAAGAAAACAAAAAGGCATTGTCAGTTTTTCCAGCGTTGAAGGGGAGATTTTTCAGGGGAAAAAATCCCATTTTTCAGCAAAATCATTCTCCACCCAGTTGCAATCATAGCTCCAGCTGTTCTGCTTAGCTTTACTAAACCTATTGCTTGGGGGCACTGGGGGGATTAATACCCCTGTGAGCAGCATTTGGCAACCTGATATGAAAGCGCTGAAACTTGTGGGTCACAAATAGGATAAAGTCAATCCTTCTTGCAGGATTTGGCAGAGTGGATATTTTGTGAGAGGAAGAGCCTCTGTGATGAGCTGGAAGATGGCAGGTGTACAAGAAATATAGCGGAAACTGGGAATTGTTTGTGGTTTTTGTTATTGGCTCTCTTTTCTTGGGTGTTTGATTTGTCTAGGAGTTAGGAAATAGGACAATCTAGAAAGAAATCTTTTAGTGTTGCTGCTGATGTTGTTAACTCTTTGGCATTGCTGTAACCAGCATCAGTAAGTTGTCAGCAAAAAAGGATGTGCTCTTCTGCCTCATGAAATTATTAGCAGCTGGATTTCTAGAAGTCAGCAGCAAATTTGCCCGCAATTTGTGCTCAGATATTTCATGCAAGGACTGTTCCTCTGCAGTCTGTGCATTCAGGCTCAACATGGCATGGGATGAAGATACTGATTCTTGCTTTAAGTTGCATGTACGTAATAAGTTTCCCTGCTTTCGGTGCTGGCAGACAATGCTCTGGGGTGTCCAGGATGGTGATGATCTGGGCCAGTCTGAGGTTCTCTCTCTCCCCTCTGAGTTTCCCAGCTGTAGGAGCATCCTCCAGGGAGATGCCCTCCAAAGGATGCCTACAGGCTTGGGAATGTTGTGCCTCATTCTCTCCAGGCTCATCTCTTATGCTGACATCTGTCCGTCAGTTTTCAGGCTCATCCCTTGAGTGCAAGACATGAGTTGCTGCTGAGACTCAGTGCTTGGGTTCCTCTTCCAGGGGTTGTGACCAGCACTACCGTGCTGGGTTTTGAGGCTGAACTCCTGCTGGGGAGATGGTGGCCCTGGCACTGAAGGACTCCTTTTGCAGGTTGCGGCCAGCGGTGGGTCCGGTGGTGGCCGGCTGAACAGTCGGAAGGAGGCCGGGCTCCTGGCTGCTGTGACGCTGACTCAGAAGATCGTGGTGTGTCTCTCGGACACCACGCTGATGGACATTCTCCCCAAGATCAGCCAGGAGGTGCTGCTCCCGGTGCTGGGCTTCCTCACTTCACTGGCCGTCAGGTAAGTGCTGCAGTCTGCCGTGCCTTCAGCCAGGATCAGCACAACTCAAAATTGCGGATTTGGAAATGGTTCTGTGAGGGCCTTAACACTTCTGGGGCTGCTCCTGTCCTGATGTGCACCTCCTTGCACTGGTACACAGCACGCACATAGAGCTTGTGCTGCTCTGGACCTTCTGATAACACAGACACAGCAGGAAGCATGAAGCAGAGGAGGGGAAAAAGGGATATGTGGAGGGCAAGCTGGTAATAGATGTCCTCTTCAGTTTCCCCAGTGGTGCCCAGGCCCGTATTGTCCTGTGCGTTAAGACAATCAGCCTAATTGCCTTGATCTGCCTGCGGATTGGGCAGGAGATGGTGCAGCAGCATTTGAGCGACACAGTGAGAAACTTCTTTGGGGCGTTCTCACTGCTGCAGGAGCTGCAAGACCAGGTCAGTGACGTGGGAGAGGTCCTCCTGCCATCCCCAAAGTACCCAGATGCAGGAATGTGGTGGGCGTACCTGTGTACACCAGTACTGGTGTCAGCAGCATCCAGCCCAGGCTGTGTTTGTGTAATTAATTATGTGATGAGAGCATCTGATCTTGGGTATCTTCCTGTTTTCTCTTGTCCAGGGGTTAACGGCGGAGTCACTGAGCAGCTGTGAGGTGCCGGTGATGGAGGTGCCCCTTTCAGATGGGAAGCTGCTGGCCCTGGATCCAGCCGTGCTGATGGAGTTAGAGAAGGTGTTTAACCCTGAGATGGCCTACATCACCTACATCCCCTTCTCTTGCCTGCTAGGTATGGCTTGGCCACCATCTCCTAGGGTTTGTGAGAGAGCTCCATGCTCTACGCATGTGTGCTGGACCTGAACTCAGGAGAAGTCAGAGGGTGTAGGGCTGCTGGTGGAAACCCACAGCTTCTACGCTGCGGGTTGGTCTGCTTCTTGGGTCGGGAACCCATTGGGCTTCAGGCTGCTTTGGTTGGGAGCAGCACGTGGCTGGCTGGTGGGAGATGTTGTGTTCACAGCCCTGTGCTGACCCTTCTTCTGTTGTTGATGGTGACGGGTGATGATGGGGAAATTCCTCCCCTTGAAGCCACCTTCTTTCTTTTCAGGTGATGTTATCCAGATGGTTGTGCCCAACCACTCGCTGGTGGAGAAGCTGGCCAGCCTCCACCTGGAGAACGTGAACCCCAAGAGCCTGCAGGTCGTTAGCCTGGAGCAAACACCGAGTGCGGTGGGCTCAGACCAAGATACGCGAGGGACCGAGCCCTTCTCTAGCCACCAGGAGGACACTCACTCGGGTACTTTTGGGAGCGTGCTGGTAGGGAACCGCATCCAGGTCCCCGTGGACACACAGCGCGAGGGTCTTGGCTTACTTCGCCTCAGTGCTGGCACTGATGGCTTTATTCCCAGCTCATCCAGCGAGGAGAATACCCTGAAGCATGACCTTCCTCGCAGCACCCACATGCTGTGTGGGAACTGGCTGGCCTACTGGCAGTATGAGATTGGGGTGAGCCAACATGACCCCCGCTTCCACTTCCACCAGATCAAGCTGCAGAGTTTCTCAGGGCATTCGGGGGCCATCAAGTGCGTGGCACCGCTCAGCAGCGAGGACTTCTTTCTTAGTGGCAGCAAGGACAAAACCGTCCGCCTTTGGCCCTTGTACAACTATGGGGATGGCACCAGTGAGGTGCCACCGCGGTTCACGTACGCTGAGCACAAGAAGTCTGTTTTCTTTGTGAGCCAGCTGGAGGTGTCGCAGCACGTGGTGAGCTGTGATGGGACTGTACACATCTGGGACCAGTTCACAGGTAAGAAGGGAAAGGGTGAAGACTGGCTGGAGTGAACTGGTCCAGTCCTTAAAGACAGAGGGGCCATACTGAGTTGTGATGGCTCTTGTTAAAAACCAGTGCAGAACTGGAGATTTGCTATGTACTTTCTCCATACATCTGCTGCCATAATGTCATGTTTTCACAGGCAAACTTCTCCGGACTTTTGATGAATTAGACAGCAAAGTCCCCATCACAGCAGTGACCACCATGCCACCTCCCTTTCACAGCATCTCCGTGGCCAGTGCAGACTCTGTGCTGCGGTTCATCGATCACAGGAAGCCAGGACTACAGGTAGGGAGTCTGGTGCTCTGCGAGCCATCCTCCTCGATCCGTGTGCTTAATGATAGGGTCACAGCTGGCCCAAAGCCAGCTGCAATGACTCCGGTGAAAGCCAGCTGGACCCCAGGGTCTCTTGTCCCCTAAATGCCGGATCCCCTGATCTTCATCCCCCAGTAGCTGGGCTCTCTCTCTTGCAGCACGAGTTTCGCCTGGCCAGTGGGGTGAGCGCTGGGCTCATCCGCTGCTTGGCTGTCAGTCCTAACGGGCGCAGCGTTATGGCTGGCTTCTCCTCTGGTTTCATTGTGCTGCTGGACACCAGGACAGGACTCATCATGCAGGGGTGGCCTGCCCATGAGGGGGACATCCTGCAGATCAAGGTGAGAGGTTCAGCTGGGATTAGGGTGGCGGGCCGCTTTGTGGGCCTCTTCGATCCTCTGAGGTTGCGTGGAGCATCCTTCTGGTACGTGCTGCTTGGCAGGGCTTGTCTGCTCTGTCCTCTGGGAATTCCTCCATCCCTTGCTGTGTCCCCAAGAGGCTGCTCAAGCTCTCCTGCCCCATGGTTAGTGCTGCGGGTGGCTGTGCTTGGTCCAACGTGTGCTGAATGGAGATCAGCTCTCCCAGGTGTCAGTCCCTGTCGAGCAGCTTTGCAGCAGGGGCAGGGAGGAGACACGTCTCCCGTGAAGGATCGAATGTGTTCCTTTCTCCGCAGGGCTCTCAGCCTCCCTGGGAGACCGTCGCTCTAATGAATAACTCTTGTCCATATTTACCCACCCACAGGGAGCAGTGCTGGGGCTCCAGTGTCCTCGACCCAAATGCAGGTTAAACAAAGTTCAATGGTGTGGGTTGTTTACCCTCTCACTAGCTCTGCTAATAAGCAGCTCCAGGCTTCTCCTACCCTCAGCAGTATTTTCTACTGTGAGACAGCCTCCCAATTCCTCTTCCTGAGAAGGAAAATAATTTGGCAGGCGGTTTAATGGAGAGGGAGACCGCATGATAATCTCTTTACCTACTGCAGTAGTAACAGATGATGAATTAGTTGTGTTGGGTATCAGGATTAGCTACCTGCTAATCTCATTTGCAGGATGAGATTGGGAGTTTTTACTGCAGCAGTATTGGTTCACTGGCCTTTCTTCTCCTGCAGGCTGCAGAGGGCAATGTGCTAATCAGCTCCTCTTCGGATCATTCCCTGACTGTCTGGAAGGAACTGGAACAGAAACCTTTGCACCACTACAAATCTGCATCTGAACCCATCCATGCATTTGACCTCTATGGCAACGAAGTGGTCACTGGCACTGTGGCCAACAAGATTGGCGTCTACTCCATGCTGGAGTCCTCAGCCCTGCCCATCAGCACGACCAAGCTGAGCTCAGAGAATTTTCGGGGTACGCTGACCAGCTTGGCGGTGCTACCCACGAAATGCCAGCTCCTGCTGGGCTCGGACAACGGCATCATACGCCTCCTGGCATAGCAACCACCGATCCAGGAGCTTGTGGCTGTCCCACAGCGCTGGTGGTAGAGCTGAAAGCCCGTAGCTTTGGAGGAGGAGGCAGAGTTAGATGTTTCTGAACAGAGGATGCAGGGGGGGAGGTGTACTTGTTAGTGAGCACTCCGTAAAGCATCTCTAACCTCTTTCTGTATCTTTAAAAAGAAAAAAGCCATAACTGAGAAACCTCCACTGCTGCTGGGAGAGATACTGGGCGTTGTAGGTCACTGTCACCCCTGCAGAGAGGCCTGGAGCTTTCCATACCATGTGTGCCTGATCCCCAGGGGACTGTGAGCTGCCCTCCAGAGTACTATGGACCACAGGTATCCTCCCCCCTTCTGTCAAGGGGTAAGGGGCACCCCTTGACAAGAACACAACAGTATAGCTACTGCCATCTGCACTTACCCTTCACTTCCACTCCTGAACCACTGAATAGTCTTACTAGGATAGCATAAGCTGGGCCTGGGAACTGCCGCTTTCGGAGCTGCATGGTGCCGGGCATCTCCTCCTCCTGTGGTCTGTGTTCAAAGCCCAGAGGATGTACGCTATTGACTTCAGTTTCTGCTGGCTGAGTTAGAGCCTGTATGGGAGGAGGAGAGGTTAACTAGAGCACTTCTGCCGCCTTACTGGCTCCAGGGCAGAGACTGGAATGGAAGTCGGCCAAGGCACAAACCCCATCTGCTCCGCCAGTTCATTTAGGAATGGGCTGCTGCAGAGGGACAGTTTGGGATGGGAACATGACCCTCTAGGGAGGCCAGAACTAGATGCTTCCATGAGGATTTTGGCTTCTGGAGCAGTAGGATAGGGATGGACTGTTGCTGGTTCTTGCCCCAGCAGCACTGCATCCCGTGATTATTTAAGGGAGGAGGAATGCCCTGTGTGCCATGCACTGGCTGCCATTTCTCAAGAAATCCTCCTTCTAATCCTATCCTTTGTGCTGGTCAGACTCCTGGGGAAGACAGGACAGCAAAAAGGTGTTCAGTTTTGTCCCCTCCTGCCCTTGCAGGGTGAGAGCCAGGAGGCATGATCCAGCATGGTCTCCTTCTGACCTTCCCTTTGGGAGAGCACCGTCTGTTCCCCGAGAGTGCTCTTTGGCCCAGCAGTACGAGCAGTTGCCTCACTTCTATTGCAGCCCTTTTCCCATCCATCCTTCAGCCCAGTTAGAGCCAGTATCAGGGGATGGGGAAGCTCTTATCTTGGGCAGAGGAGGAGCCTGCTGTGCGTTGTCCTGGGAGGGGAAGAGGGCTTTCATCCAGCTGCTGGTTCATCTGAGCCACCTGCAGTTGGGAAGGCTGCCCTCCGCTTCCAGGGAGGGTGGGGAGCTCAGCAGTTGGCCCTCGCTATCCTTCCCTACCCAAGGGGAGCTCTCAGTCCCGTGTTGCCTATTAACCATTTGCAATAGATGTAAATATTTACTTCTAATAAACTCTTTGAAAGAGATGCAGAGATGGGTGTGTGGGGATGCTCTGTGCTGGAGGGGCCCAGGTGCGGTGTGGTACAGGGCTGGGTGTGCTGGCTGCAGCTCTGCTCTGGCAGCCAAAGCTAAAACTCTGTGTTCGGGCATCTCTTGTGTTCCTGGGTGAGCTGGAGGAGGGATGCTGTCAGATTGCCCTGGATGTAAGGTAGGACTCTGCTCCACAGGGACTTGGATCTGCTTTCCAAGGGGAAGTCGCTCCCCATGTTGCAGTGGCATGTCCCAAAGGAGTTCATGGTTGGTGAGCTCAGACCTGTCTCCTTTCCACTCCTTCCCAGTGTCTGGGGGTAAATTTGGGAACCAAGAGCTACTGCAAGCGCTGCAATCCCGTTAGCGTTCCCCGCTGCTCCTTAGCGATTCCTCTCGCAGTGAGGACCTGGATAGAGCCGGGAAGCATCACCATCGCTTCTGCATATGGCACAAAACCACACAGGACAGGACCGCTGGAGTTCTGCCAGTTCCTGAGACTCTTCCTCCATGCCATAGCGGTGCGTGCGTGCCGTGGAGCCCGACACCGGGGCCAACTCCCCCGGCAGAGCTCCGGTGAGTGCTGTGCCCCAGGGGAGGTACAGCTGCTCTTGGCTCAGCCCAGCCTGGCCATCGCTACCTCCTGCTTGGGTACAAAGCCCGGGGGCCTTGGGCACCAGCCATCGGGCAACCAGTGCCTCCTGCTTGCTGCAGCAGAAGCAGCTGGGATACAGGGAGTAAATATCTGGGGTTTTCTGCAAAGAAAATTCCCAGAACAGAGTGTGCCCTGTGGCAATAAATACCAAGCCCTACATTTTTACCAGAGGTTATGAATAAAAGAACGTGTTCCCAGCACAGGGAGCATACGGGAAATGGAGCCCCTGCTAGGGACAACTGACTTCACGTCTTACTTCTGCTGATGGGAGTTTCGGAGCTGGTAAACTCAGTGTTAACGTTATCTTAAGGGTACAGCAGCCCAAAGTGTCTCCCCATCTCCAAATGCACCACAAATTCACTCTTATCCCGCAAACAAATGTTTAACCGGATGCTGTAGGTCAATATTTGCCTGCCAGGTTCTCAAACAGGGGGTGGTGCTGAAGGTCGGTGCTGGCGGGTAGCAAGGGTGGGCTGGACAAGAGAGCGTGCTTGCCCCATGCAGAGCTATCGGCCGGGCTAAAGCAGGTGCCAGCTCCAACATTGGACATGAACAACTGCAGGTAAGGGACAAATGAATGAGGATTTGAGAGTAAATGGGGGCTCCTCCAACGAGCATCGGTGCCTCTCCGGGAGAAGGAGGTGAATTTGGCAGAGGGTTAAAGGATGGGCACCATCAGGGAGAAAAGGGGCATTCAGGGTTATACGTGGCTGCAGGATTTGGGGTGAAGGAGGAGGGGAAATGAAGGGGTCTTCAAGTTTTGCTTCTTCCACTTGGCAACTGGGGGTCGCAGCCCAGCAGTTTCAGGTCAAAGTAGGGACTGCTCAGAGAATGGAAAGCAGCCCCAGGAATTAAGTGTATGGCAGCTGTGCCAAGGACTGGGCTTTGGTTAGAAGACAAGTTATTTCTGTTTGAATGGGAAAAGTAGCTGGGTGAAGCGGTGGCCAGGGAATGGGTGGGGTTTTATCCACGGCCCTGGAAGCCCTGCTCCCACTGTCCCATACAGGAACCGGAGTGCGGGGGTGGGAGAGGCTGGGTTTGCCAGCAAAGGGGGAAGGCGAGTGCTGGGAAGGGGAGGACTCTCTATTCCAGGACATATTGCTGAGAAATTGCTCTGGTATTGCATATTTCTACCTGCAAAGTCCCTCTCAGACAGCATTTGCTGAGTGCCCGCAGCCCCTCTGAGGCAGGTTAGTATCCCTTCTCCCAAGAGCCGGGGGCACAGCAGAGGATGCTGTGCCCATAGCTCGGTGGTTTGCACAGGAAAGGACCAGAGGCTCTTGTCTTCTTCCAGAGGCACAACGTGTGCAGGACTGATTAGGGAAATACCATTTGCAATCCAGACGAATGAGGGTGATGGGGTCAGAAACGCAGGATCCAAGCAGGAGTGCGTCACGTAGGAGCCTGGCTGTGGTTACAGCTCTGCTCTGGTGCGGGTCCCTGTTCCTCTCTGATTTCGCTGCCTTGGCGTTGGACCCAGGAGCCCTGTGTGGTTTCTTTGCAGCATTGTTCATCTCCCTATTGCTTTCTGCAAGCTCCTGCGCCAACCTGTTTGGCCAGGTTGATAATTTTCTCCCTGTAGACCTGAATAGGCTCAGCTTGCTGCTGCCAGGCAGCTGGAAATAACTTGTCTCTTGGCTGGTCCTTCTGTTCCAGAAATATGGTGTTCCTCTGGGGTCTGTTGCTGCTCTGCCTCTCTGCTCTGCACAGTCACCTAAGGGTAAGTCGCTTCACTCCAGTGATGGTGGGGACCTCTGCGGTGTGAGCACAGCCCTGTCCCCAGCCAAGGGGAGCGAGGGGGCTCTCCTGCACCGGCCCACCGGGCAAATACCGCCTGATGCTTCTGCGTGAGAAGCCCTGGAAGGCAGATTGGCAGAGGACACTGCTTCTCTGCTATGGGGTTAGCCTGCGCCCCAGTGCAGCAAGGTTTCTAATTTTTTTCTCAGCTAACATAGCTGTGGATATTCTCATTATTCAAGTGGATTTCTGTAGAAAATATTTGGAAACTTGGCTTCAACTGTATTTAGTGACCATGACCTTCAGGGGTTAACAGGAGGTTGTTTAATAACTTTCTTTTTCTCCCATTTTAAATCTGGAACCCTGTCAGATCTGAGATTGCAAAACCGCACTGCTCACTCTCTAGAGGATACATTATTTTCTACCCTTCTGACCTGGTCCCTTTCTAAACAAATCCAGCATTTGCAGTCTCTCCCAGCTCCTGCTCACGTCCACCTCCCCACGGTGGACCCCACCACCTCTGGGTCTGCATCCTAAATCCCTGCCCGTGCCATAGCCGTGCAAGGACTGCTACAGCCAGGCTGGTGCCAGTCTCTGACCTGGCCCCATGGGAATGCGTTAGGAGCTGGGGCAGAGAAGACCGACTCTGGAAATTCAGAGGAAATTATTTGGGACCTGACTTTGTTCCTCTGTTGTTTGGTTTGCTTTTTTTCCCCTACAGTTTTCTTCGGCACATGCCATTGAGCAAAAGCATCTCTTTTTAGACAAAGATGGGGAGCTGAAGGTAAGCAATGACTGGTTCCACCCAAGGGGACTGACGTTATGCAGTGGTATTTGCAATGGTTTTCCAGTTTGTCCTGAGATAGGATGAGTCCAGGCAGTCCAATCTAGCAGCGCCAGTGCAATGAGAAGGTCCATCTTTGTGCAGGGTTCCCTCTCCACCTCACCGATGCTGCTGCCCAAGCTGTGCTCCTTCGTCTTGGAAGCTCCAGCCTAAATAACTGGGCAGCATATGGATGAAATACCAGTAGCTGGTGGGTACAGGGACTGGCAGGTGGATTATTTCATTTCTGATTGATACGAAAAAATGAGGAAAACATCTAGCTATGAGGGTGAAAGGGAGAAAGACCCGTAGCTGATGCTACCCATCGAGCCTGGCTCTGACAGTGCAGCCCTCCTGCAGCAGAGGAATGTCATCCGGATGCTGGTGGGAACAGGGAGATCTGAGGGGAAAAAAGCATGTCTTTAAGACCACGCAAATGTGAGGATCGAAGCAGCAGTACTATAGACTAAAGCTTAAAAAACTGGAAAATGAGGAAATGTGGAGAGAAGAGGGATGGGATGGAACAGAACAGACAAGTCAAGGAGAGACAGATGCCTGGAGGAGGATTTGAGCCAAAATGGATCCAGGCTGTCACAGCAGTAGAGGGTGCTGACCGATGCACGAGGCAGATAGACAGTGCTAAAATATGTGAGAGGAGGAGGCGAAATCAAGGCTGAGGGTGACGGATCTATAAACAGCGAAGGCACAGGACATCTTGCCCTCAAAGCATGCCTGTTGGGCTCCTTTGCCTGGGGCAGGCCCTGGGAGCAAGCAGAGGAGGAACCACTGCCAGCCCCGCACTCGGTCCATTTTCCCAGGACATGAGACCTTCTGTTTTCCAAACTCATTGAGGTGCTCTTAACCTCAAGGTTAAAAGGCAAACAGAATTGAATACACCACCAGAGTAGAGAAGCTGGAGAGTTTTCTAAACCCATTTAGGTGTGCAGGAAAGCCCACGAAGGACGGTATTGCCATGCTCCTGCTTTCCCAGCCCTATTCTTGTTTCTCCCCAGGACGTGAAAAGTGCTGGAGTTGAACAGTCTGCTCTGCTGGGAACTCTCTCACCCGTGCCGAACGCAGAGCTGACAGACTTTACCTATGATAGCTTCCAGGAGATTGACGGACCCATGTTACCTTTCACCACCACCCCACCAGGCACAAGGAATGACCAGAACCCAGAAGATGAAGTCATAGCTGAGGCTGTGGACTGTAATGAACAGCAATCATCTGGGGAAATTACCTCTTCTGAAGAGGAAGGAGAGGCTGAAGATAAAAGCTGTGAGACGACTTGGAAGAAGACCCAGAGGCTAGCAGATGGCTTGATGAGATTCAGCATCAATCTCCTGAGAGAGATCCAGCTGGAGTCCAACAGAACCAATGTGATCCTGTCACCCCTCAGCATCACCCTCGCCTTGTCTCACCTGGCACTGGGTAACTCCTTAGTTACAAAAAGCACCATTCCCTGCCCTTCCCTGTACCCCCTCCTGGACGCACTAGGAACCAATGTGCAAAACGCAAAGATTAAATACGGCACCTTCCACTTAATCTTACCCCTGCAGCTTTCATTAGGTAGGATTACAATTGAAGCTGCCCTCCATGGCGCTGCTGAGGCTCCTACTCCCAGGTTTCTCCAGCCTCTTTTGTAAAGCACAGTGTGTTTCTAACAGGAGGCAGCTAGCGTAACGTCCCTGTTTTCCACCGCGTGAGCATGACCTAACAGGAATTTGACTTTGCTTTTTAGGAGCAGCAAATCAGACAGAGAAGCATTTGCTGGAATTGATGCTTCTGAAGTCGGTGCCCTGTCTCCACCACACGTTGGGTACCCTTCGCAAAAGGCTCACAGAATCCACCGTCAGCCTTGCGTCGCGTCTGTACCTGCAGAAAGGTGAGAGCTGGCACGGGGTGGGGTCCGTACTGGTGTAGGATAAATTTGTCGGTGACAGAGAGTGATGGAAGCATGGTGCCATACTGGGAGACGTCTCTGTTTCCCTAAGCACTCCTCCTGGGGAGTGTCAAGCCGTCAGCTGAGCCACTGAGCACATTTTTTTCAATGTCTGATGACTTCATGTAGAATTCTTCCCCTCTGCCAGGATTTGAGGTGAAAGAGAAGTTCCTGGAGGATTCAGAGAAATTCTACGGAGTAAAGCCTGCAATCCTTTCTGGGGTCAGTGAGGATGACCTTGTAGCCATAAACAAGTGGGTAAAGGAAGCAACTAATGGGCAAATACCCACCTTCCTACAGCAGCTCCCTGAAAACACAGTGATGCTCTTGCTCAATGCAATCCATTTCCACGGTGAGCTCCACAGACCTTACTTTTCAAGAGGAATAGTTAGAAACCTACTAGTTTTTCTGCAAGCACTGTAGCTGAATGGCATCTCCTTTCATTGCTTCTTGCTAGTCAATCTGCTTGTTCCTTTCTTATACGTCTGCTGTTCCTCTTGCTTAGATTTCTTTGCGGTAATGATTCCCAACTGCTTCATATGTGCTAAAAAATGTTACGCGGGTGCAGAGCCAGGTTGCAGAAGGTGAAACCTGCAGTATTTTTGCCTCCTGGTTCAGGATCCCAGACAGTGGCACATCACTGCTCGTCTTGACCAGGTCACGTGCAACTCACTACATGCCAACCACAGAGCTCGGAGGCAGCTTCTGTGGATTTCTTTCTGACTACAGCACAGTGGTCAGGCACATCTTCCTCTTTTAATTCCCTGAGGGTTGTGCATCGAAACACAGAGCAAACACTTGCTTCCAGTGTAAATCTGCAAATGTTTTAGCTTGGTCTTGGAGCAATGTTTCACCCTCCGCAGCACAAAGGCAAGACTCTTCATTTTTCGAAGTGCAAACATCCATTACTTTATCTTCGTAGCCTTCAGTAATCTCCCACGCTGAGGCATGAGGATTAATCCTCATTCTTTTTGTTATTCCATAGTACCTCTCTGGAAGATAAGAGCTTCCTGCTGTTAGGGCTCTTCCAGCCTTGGTACTGACTTCTCTTCACTGTATTTCTACTTGCCTGGTTACTGTCTGCCCTGTCGGAGAACTCATGATAAGAGCAGTGTCAGTTGGGCAGCTTCTGTTTGCCTACCCAAATTTAACTTTGTTGATTTCTAAACTTTTATTTTGATAGGGTTTTGGAGGAATAAGTTTGATGCTACCTTCACTGCGCCAGATGTATTCCACCTTGACAATGAGTTTGTGGTCCCAGTTGAGATGATGAAAGCCCAGAAGTACTCCCTGAGCTGGTTTACACTGGAGTCCCAGGACATTCAGGTAGGGCTCTGTTAGGAGCACGACAAGTTTTGACTGGAATTTCCTCTTGCTATGGTATTTTACTGACTGCAAGTATTCTCTCAAAAAAACCAGATGTCTTTTAACAGGCATAGCACACAAAAATTTAATAAGCACCCTTTGTCCTTGCTTCTAGAAAGAATGTTGAATCTTCTCTCTCAGTCTCTAGGAAAAACCACGAAGACATATTCCCACTAAGTGGGAATTAATGGCGTTTTAAAGCCCTGAGTTAGAGATAAATGAGGACATACGGAAAGGAACTCCCTCAGACAATATAATGTTGTAGCCCTTCAGAATACAGCTACTGCCAGAGTGGGTACAATGGTTGTGCGTGTGGGCTTCCACTCTGCCATTTCTACAATCTTTACTAGTCAGTGGCTAAATACTAAAATCAAATGCTGTTATTCCAACAAACTTTCTTCTCTGAAGAAATCAGATACCTCCTTCCCACCAGGCTGTTTTCGTCCCATAGCTAGACTGTCTTTGTAGACCAATTAGAAAAAGACTAAATAATTAAAAGCATCACTTTCTGGACTTTCCTCCTTCCTAAATTATTCTGGTTGGTTTTATTTCCAGGTGGCCAAGTTTCCCTTTAAGAGTAACATAAGTTTTGTGGTCATTGTACCAAACCAGTACACTCGGGATGCCTCCCATGTGCTGGCGAACTTCCCTTACGAACGACTATGCAGGCTTTTCCCTAAAGAGGTACCCACCGCAGTGAGGATCCCCAAAATAAAACTGGACTACCAGCTGGAACTCAACAAGGTTCTCAGTCGAATGGGTAAGGCCTCTAACAGGATTTGCACAGAATAAGTGAAGCTGATCAAGCTATATGGCATCTGTTCGCTGACACTAAAAACTGCCATCCTTGTTGCTAAAGCTGTGCCTCACAGCTTGCTCCGGATATCATCCAAACTCTTTAATCTCTTTTTCCTCTCCTCCTTACTCTTTGCTTGCCTAGCACCAAATGTTTTGCTCCAACAAGATGATGCTATAGAGAAGGCAGCATTCACAGTTCCTCACAATCTTTACGAGTTCTTCCTATTCCCCTATTTGTAGCCAAGACCAGCTTCCTCCCATGCGTCAACCTTTATCTCCCACGTTGTCATTTAACATAATGTCCAGGGCATAGAAACTGCCAGCAGAGAGAATGCAGATCACAAAACCTGGAAATGGGAGCTTACCGAAATAAAACACCATGCACTGCATTTCCAGATGAGAATAAATTAAGAGTTCACTTTGTTTTGCAGAATTGCTTAAAAAAATAATCTCTGTAAAAGTGTTTCCAGCCTAGCAAGAAAAAGCCTTCAGGCTTGCTACTGCTTTTTAAGGAAGGCTTTAAGTTCTCACACTAGTATCCTAAAAGAGGTGGACAAAGCTTGTGAAAACTGTTCTGGTTTTGGCACCCTCAGCTCTTTATACAGAGAGGGACTGGGGAACCTGGCTGGACTGCAGCTTTTGTCTCTGTTGCCTGCAAGTTCTCCAGTCCTCCATGGTGGACAAGGCATGTAGCAACAGATTAGGGAATTGCTTTCTTCGGACAGCTTTGAGAAAAATCAGAGCTGGTGGCACCAACTGGGAAAGGTTAATTTAATCTTATTTCTCTGTAGGCCTCCAGGAGCTGTTCACAAGCCCAAATCTCCAGAAGATCACAGATGAGCCTCTCTTTGTATCCAGTATACAGCATCAGTCTACCCTGGAGCTTAAAGAAGATGGGATGGAAGCATCTGCTGCTACCAGTGTCGCGATTTCACGCTCAGTCTCTGCCTTCAGCCTTGACCGTCCCTTTGTCTTCATTATCTTTGAAGAGGAAACAGGCATTCCGCTTTTTATAGGCAGTGTCCAGAACCCTAACCCCAATGCTGCTCCCCAGATAAAAGAGCCACGGGACCCACGCGAAGCAACAGATGTCAATGAGTACCCCATGCCCAAATAAGAGAAGAGCAGAGCCTAAGTGTTCTGGGACTGCTACCTGACCCTTTGGACCAGCTAAGAGAGGCCTCCTGTCCTTGGAGACCTCCCTCTGAGGCCACAGGAGGTAATCCCTTGCTGTTTTCCTTTACAGATCCCTAGAGACCAGTCCTGAGATAGCCCATTCCAGCCTTGATGAGCTTCTCCAGGCTGGGGTTCCCCCCTGTTGAACCTGAAAATCTTGCTCTGCCTGGATTTCCCTTCCAGGGCTCTCAGTCCTGGAAGAGAGACATCCTTGTCCCCAGACTCTTATTAGAGTTTTTATTAAGCTCTTATTAGAGTCCTCTGTAGCCTGGAATCATCATTAGCATCTGGCAGCTTGGACAACAGCCAGAGATGTTAATACGGCTCTTCCTTCCGCAGTTCCTGTGAACATGTCTCCCTCAAAGTGTTCCTCCGCAAACTGTCTGTACCCACCTAGAAAATAACCTCTAGATCAACTGGACTAGTAACCAGTTGTCTTCTCTAGGATGCATCACAGCCATTTCCAGGCACAGGCTCCTTTCAAAGATTCCTTTTTCCCACTCCTTGGCTATTGGGATCTGAAGTGGGGAGGGTCTGCAGTGGGAAACCCCTTTGGATCCTTATTCCTGGGAAACTCTAGGTTCTTGGGTAATGCTAGATTTTTCGAGACATATTTTATAAAGTGTTTTTTAGTAATTTTTATGTTGGCAGAATAATAAAGAGTAAAGCAGAATATATTTGCTTAAGGTTTTGCATTGAAAGACCCAACAGAGAAAGGAAAAAGGCACACAACTTGAATAATTGCAAAGACTGTGAGGAAAAAAGTCTGGGTGTGACAGATGGAAAGATAGGAGGGGCTTTTTGCTACCCCTCATCACAGAGGAGAACAGAGGCTGTGAGGTGAAATGGCTAATCTGTAAAGGCTGTCCAAGGACTGAGTCTCGTAAGCTTTGGGCATCTCACCTGCAGTGTGCAGGGAAGACTCGCTGGGTCACAGCTGGCTTTGTGAAACGGGCAGAATTCCTTGAATTAGAGCATGAGCTCAGTGGCGTGGGGACAGGAGGGTATTTTGCCTGTGAGCAGCAATGCAGTGATAAGCAGGGATGTGACAGTCCTTAACCATTCTCTTGGGCATAACCTGACCACTGCTGGCATCTACCAGGAGGTTCAAAGGTGCTGATCTGGCATCTGCTAGCTGCAATTTGTTCTTCTACTGGGATACTCCTGGCTCCACAGCACAATGCTATAGATGGCTGGGACAGCTTCCAGGGGAAGAAGGGGCAGATTTTGACGCCTGTAGCTGAATATCACTGCTTTTGTCCTGTTTTGGCAAAAGGCAATGTCCTGTTACAGCTTCACTTTTGTCTGAGATGGGCACAGTCCTTGTTCTGAGGTAGCAGTGCATGTCTGAAATAAGCTACCATGAAAGAATCTTGGGAACCCTCCACCCAACCAAGCCATCCTACCACTTAAAAATATCAGTCTAACTCACCATAGCCTGCCACGCTGCAGCTATTTCTGTACAAAACAACTGCTGTCCATAGTAGATCCTGCTTCTGAACTCCCTCAGCTTCTGTGTAAAAAGGAAGGTGCTTCGTTTTTGTGAAATAGCAATTACAGAGCACAAGGACCATCCTTCTGGCAGTGTGTTCCTCACTTGGGAAGTCTGCCTTCCCTCAAAGGAAGGAGCAGAACGCTTCTGGGAGCCTCCGTCCCTGAATAGTCTGCACCATCTGCTGGAATAAGAGAAGGACTGACTCACTAACCATGAATTTCAGGGATGAGGGAGACTTTGGGGAATAAAAAGTCCTGGCTCAAACCTGCAATTACACATTTCTTGCAGTCTAAAAGGGGAAGAACGACTAAAGATAATGTCCACTCCTCTAACCAATGCAATGACACGTACCCTTCAAAAAAGAGGGTGTAATTACGGGGCCGTGTAATTTTAACAAGTAAACCCACAAGAATCCAGCCCTCGTATGAGGGCATAGCTCTAGGCCACAGGGAACATTTTAGTTTATTTATTTATACAGATTCATTCCTAACATTCAGAATTACCATCCCATGCCTTAGGTAAGTCTTGCTTTGGCTACTGCAACCTCAGCGCTAGCCTTCCTGAGTCCCACCCTGTCGCACTGCAACCTGTGCAAAAGTCGAAGTGCAAGTCTTCCTTTTCATGCCTCTGCCCTCCAGCTCCCCCTCTTCTATGAGATTTTTTTCACCTCATTTTCACTTTCCTGAACAGCTTGCTTCTTATTTCCTATTTTCTGTCTTTCTGCCATCCCTCCTCCTCCAACCTATTCTTGTCAAACTATTAATTTTATCTTATTTGACATTACAGCAGCCCTCCATGACTGTGCTTTGCTCAACAAATTATCAGTTACACCAACCTTAAGACTCTTTTTCATTCCACCAACTCTTCTGAAGAGGCTGGTTGTAAAATGCAAAGTAATATTAATGTCTCTGCTCAGGAATTTCCACTTTGCATTGCTAAGCTTTCATTTTGACGGAGCTCTATTCTGAGAAGACATGACTAGCATAGGGTGTCTGCTCTACAGCTCATCATTCTCACCACTGGCTCAGAATATCAAATAAGTCCGAGTATCTTTAATTTTATATGTATTTTTTCCTTACTAGAGCAAATTCATACGAACATGATCAGTACTTCTACAGCAGAGGTGAACAGTGTTCAGACAGCATATTGCCTACCATCTTGAGCCCAAACCAGAACAACACTAAAACGTTTGTATTGATTTAACAAAATGAGTATAGTTTAGACGAGTATAATGCACCGTTTCAGGGATACCCTTCACCTACAGGAATAAAGCTTGGTTTGGTCTGTAATAACATTCTATACAACAGCCACTCTGATTTACATGGTTTAAAACCAAACCTGTATTTAAACAGATGGGCTTTCATTTGAAGATACAGATGAGATGTAAGAACTTCTCTAGTGGTCCTTCCAGAAAAGGCATTTTAATACCACAAATAAGGTATCAAAAAGAGATGAAAACCACCAGAAGATATCTCCGCAGCCAACACCTCCATTCTTGGGCCAACGATGGAAGACTAACAAGTACAAACACCTCTCTGCAGACGATTTCTCACAGAGCAAGCTGAGAAGCAGTTGAAAGCAGAGCTGTTACTCTCCTTGTTAGAAAGGGTCACCTTTGAAGCACTGACTAATCACAGGGCAGACTATTTGATTTGCCTTTCTGGCTTGCAAAAACAGCAGCTGATGCTTCTCTAAAACCATCTTTTCATCTTTGCTGAGGGACTGTATGAGCTCAGTGCCAGCATGCGTGAGTAACTCCTCATTACCCGTTAGTGGCAAGGCTGGCAGCCCAAAAAGGAGATGTCCCAGTGCAAGCCCAGGCTGGGGGCACTGACATTACTGCCTACAGTTTACTTTCAGCACTTCCAAGTAGACAAACAGTTGCCCTTGATCAGGCTAGCTACATGTCCAGTTAGCCCAGTATCCTGGCTCTCACAGTAGCCAGTAACAAATAACCGGGGGGAAAAAAAAGCCAAGAATGACTTAGGGACAAGGAAAAACAACTGTTCTCTGGTCGTATTGCCCAGGTGCTGAGTTTGATGTTACATCTGACTATTGTTGGCCTTCAATGGACCTGTCTTCCACTAATTTTGTTTGGGTTGTTTCCGCCCCCCCTCCTCCCCCCATCTATTTATCTTTCATCTTCTGTAATATCTAGTTACAGTGAGTTTTACAATTTAATACTTATGAAAAATACTGTCTTGATTTAAATGTGCACTGATGGATACTCCCCTACAGTCTTCCATTGCAAAAACCAACAAAACCCCTCTGCTCCTTTCCCTTCTCCAGATCATTTATCCTTCTGTAAGCTCCTACAACATTCTGTTAATTCATCTTATTCACCAAGAGTCCTTGGCTTTTTAGTCTCCTTCTTTTCAGCCAAAAACTTTAAGCCAGTTATGTCAGTAACTTCTTGTTAACTAGTAGCTATCACCAGATAGGACCACTTCTGAACATCTTCTCCTTAAGTGCTTTAAACAGCAACAGAATCCTGCTTGCGCTTTACAAGTCTGTTGCATATCTTGGAGATAAATCCATGACAGACTGCTGCATTAACCATACCTCTGAGACAGAAGAAATTCCCTCATGTGACATACGGCAAAACTGCGGGGAATAAAAGACTTGCTCGAACAGGGCAGGGAGCACCTGCCTCTCCGACCTGTGCTTTACCCGCTAGACTGCCCTTAGCGCAGGGAGCACATTTATTTTTGGAAGGCAGGGTTAAAAAGTTAGTGCAATTCAGCAGGAGGGTAGCAGCAGTGGAAAATGGGAGCAGAGCACTTTAAGAGAGCCCTGGGAAGCTGTAACCTGAAGCCTGCCGAAGGCTGGGCTGGGGAAGCAGCAAAAAGTAGATGTGGCTGCACCAAACCCACAGTGTCCTGGACTCGCACCGGGTGGGAGCCTGCGGGAGCAGCCGGAGGTAAGGGGGAGCTCAGCCCTGCTGGCTGCCAGGGGAGCGGAGGGCAGGGGCTGGGGAGCCCTCCGAGGACCTGGGAAAGGGGAAGGAGGGTTCTTCTGCAGGTGTTAAAGGGTGGGATTCCCACCAAATGAGAGATCTCACCAAGGGTTGGGAGCCACCGGCGTCCTAGGGCACCTCTTTGCCTCCGGGGCTGAACTGTGCTTGGGAGCTGGAGTGGTTTTCTGCCCTTTTAGCATCTGTGTTGCAGCTGGGAACATGCTTTTTCTTTGTGACGGTTGCAATTTTGGTGATAGTCAAGTCCTCCAGAGCTAGTGGTTACAAGATGCTTCAGAAGGAGTTAGTGCTGTGGGGTGGAGCGATCACAGCAAGCAGCCTGAACTCGTGAGTGATGTTTCACAGCACCCCTAAAATCAGAAGTGTTTATAAATTATGTGAGACATGTACTGCTATAGATGGAAAGCAAAAGATTTCCTTTGCACCTGCAGGCCTTCAGAAATAGACAGCTCCCAGACACAGAGCTCTTTCTCAGCTCATTTCTCAAAGTTTTCTTCCTGTACCTTCCTGACTGTAACATCACATGCTGCATGCTGTTGCTCCTTCTCTTCTCTTTAAAGGCAGCGACAGATTTTAATATCACGCCTGAAACCATCCCACCGCTGCTCCAACCAAATTATTTTCTCTGCATTTTTGGCTGTGTCCTAAGAGACATGCAAATAG